CTTCTTCTTCTTCTTCGCTGCTTCTTTCGTTCTTCGTCTTTCTCGCTCGTCTTTCGCTCAGAGTGAGTGACAAACCGCGCCCCGTTCACACCCACCCCGCCCCCCATTCCCGCCCTTTGCATTACCATTTTACCTGTGATATAAGCGCAATTGTCGTTATCTGTGATTATCGGCATGCCCACATCACCGTCATCAGCATTAACTCTTCCAAGTCTCGGTGGTGGTGTGGGCTCACCGAACATTCTGTGATTGATATTTAATCGCGTATTTATTTATTTGCTATTTATTCATTTACTGTGATAGCAATCAGATTGTTAACCAAAATTAGAAATAAAACTGAATCAGCGTTATCAGGTATGAAATGTACACCACAGTTAATGAACAACACCTAAAAGTTGATTTTGTTACGCGAAATGCCGTATAATGCTGGCGTAATGCTGGTATACATCAAAAATCTGGTATATTGATAAAAACGGGCTGTTATTGGATTGTCCAATAGCTCTCCATCTGTAGAACCTAATAAACAAATATTTCCAAGAGAAGCAAGGAATCGTTGATTTGCAAGGTTTGGAATATAATATGTGGCGAAAATTCTTGTTGAGCTGCATACCTAAGAAAAGGTAGACTATTAGATCTATGGTGGTTATAGCGTCCTTGCGGTGCCGACACTTGCCGATAACATTTGCGCGTAAACAAGTTACTATAGCTATATCACCGGTAAGTTGCGCGTGCAAAATGGCCGTAGAGCGCGCATTCTCAAAATTTGCGCCTCCGGTAATTTGTTCACGCGCAAATGTTGATGGCAAATGTTGACATTTCAGGAACACCATATTTACCGTCACATCTACTAGGTCGACTACCCCAGCAGCCTTGGTTAAGGTAATGAGAGCATGTTTTCAAAATCAATTGCTCCAGAGGCTATGAAATCATATTAATGAAGTTGGGAAGAACAGCATACCTATTAGGGTGTTTCATGATTTTTTTACGTTCTTCCTACAACCGTCGTCATTTTGCATCTTTCCTTTAACTGATGTGACTTGAGTAATGATTCGATAGGGCAAAGCAAGCTCGACAAGATGGCTCAAGACAGGGCCCGGCACAGACCGTCTGGAAGCAGGCTGGACTTC